CTGTGGAGACAGATATCATGATCGGTAAGGCAGAGGGTCTGGGAAAAAGAGAAAGAACTCAACAATCTGGATTGATACAATGACTACCACATGGGCTCAAATAAAGACTTGGGGGATGGTGCGGGGCAGGGCCATGCTGCATTCTATTATAGGGTTACCATGATTCAGAACTGACTGGAAAGCGCCTAGCAATAACAATCTAGATTTGTAGGAGAAGTATCTTGTAGCCTACTCAGGGGAGAGCTGTGGCTTTTGTTTGGAGTTTGTTTCGCTCATTTTTAAGAAGGAGAATTGACTGCTGTCACTAAAGCAAAATTTATTTGAGAGAGGAAATCTAAGCAGATAAATATAGGCTAAGTAATGATACTTAACCTGTTGTGACACATAGCACTCAGCACATGTATCTACTAAATACAAGTTGATGGATAGTGTTTCTCGCCTGCACACACACACCTATATGTAATGGTTAATTCCTTTTTTGAATTGTTTTTTGATTGTTTCTCAACATGCGAAGTGAGATTTAAGGTTACTTTAAATCCTAATACCATGTAAAGTAAACCTGTAAAAATCATGGTAAAGTGCATCTTTGGATTTGCACTTATCCAATTTTAGCTAGGTGGTGGACTGAAAACATTTGGATGGAAGTCAAAGTAATAATGATGCTTTGTATTACATAGGATGGAAGATGATTTCACTAAATAGTCACTGCTTAGTCTAGCACAGTTTATTGTCTTCAGACATCATTGCTTCTAACTACTGGATCAGGGCATGACATTTTTCTATCCAATCCCACAGCAATAACTGCTGCCTCTTTGCTTGAAAGTCCACATTGTTCTTTTTATAGCTGAGCAGGCAGGTTACCTTATTGTAAGTGTGGAAAAAAATCAAATGGCTGCATCACAAATCAGGAAAGGGTATGCTAACAATGTGACTACTGATAAGATACATTCTATTCAAGCGCATCAAATTGTGTTTTCAAAAGGTCTTCTCGTGAAATTAATTGTTCTTACTAAATTTGATATTTTCCATAAAGAAAGTGAAAGCAAAGCACTGAAAATAATAGAAATGTTTATCAATGCTGGGTAAATAAAGTGAGGTTTATTTAGACAATGGATAAATGAAAGCAGGGAGAATAAATGAATGCATTACAAGTCTACACAATTCAGGAGCATAAAGTCATAGAAAAGATATGCAGTGTACTTCAAATTGCATAATGGTCAGAATTTTTCAAAATTTAACAATATGTTGTATAGGTATTCATATATGTGATGAAGCTAGTTAGAAAATAAAATAAATGAAAAGTTCAAAATTCAGGATGGTAGTGATCTCTGTGTGGGAAAGAAAGGAGGTGGGATTAGGATAGGTCAATCCAAGGGTTCAAAGGTCATTATTATGTCCTTTTTAAACACTGGGAGGTAAATATACATATGCAATGCATCATATTTTGCTATATCTTTGCATATTTTTCACGAGTCAATACCATAGCAATGTTGATGTCCTTCATACTTTAGACCGGAATCTTTTTATGGTCCAAAACGCAGAAGAGAAAATAGTAACTCTTCCCAAATTTAGCACTTTAGTTTGGCTTTGGAATTGACTGATAACCCTTGGACATCTAATTAAATATGTCGACTTTGTAACAATGAATTGGTGAGTAATGATTCTCTGTTTTTATATAGCAAGCGTTTCTGTTTGGTCAGTTATTACTGATATTAAAATAGAATATGGAGACTATTTCTTGATAAATTTGATTATATAAGTTCATGCTTTAGTATTCTCTCTGTAAAATCAAGGAAAAGAGAAACATAGAAAAGGGTATGACTCTATAATACCAATCTGAACCAAACTCACCGCCATCGAGTCAGTTCTGAATCACAGCCATCTGTTACCCCTGTGGGTTTCCAAGGCTGTAAATCCTTACGGGAGCCGGCGCTCATCTTTTACAATGCTTCAATGTACAAATATTGACATCGGTAAATCATTTTCATCTCCAGATAGGAAAGCCACAGAAGCATTGGACCAGGCAGTTTCACAAGGAGGATAACTCCAAGTTCAGGTTTATGTCTCACAACTGAAGAGGGCTACAAGGTGGTCAGCATTAAATAACTCAGGAAATGCACTGGAGGGGTGCCCAACCCAGCCTGGGAGACGATGACCTCTAATCTCAGGCCAAAAGAATGAGTCGGAAACAGACAGAGGTGTCGTTTGGGAGAAGAGGCTTCAGGCAGGCAGATTGAGGCGATGGGTTTGGGGAATTAAAGAAGTCCGCAGAAACTAGATTCATGGAGATGGAACAACCAGAATGGTAATGCTGAGGAGCTCATTCCTGCCCCGTGAAGAATGTAACCAGTGTCACTGAGCAGCTTGTATAAAAGTTGTTCAATGGGAACCTAAACTGCTATATAGGCCTTTAACCCCAAAGAATAAAATACTATTCTAAAAAATAAGGTAAGGTACACAAAATGTGGGATACTAACACTCAGGGAAATAGGCATGGACTCTATTCCCTTATAACAGAGAGAATCGGGAAAGCTGGTCTTCTATGGTAGGAAAGCCTCCACTTTGGTGAATTAGAGATAAAGTCCAAGTACATTATCCTGCTTTAAATATCATTCCCACAGATTCTCCCCTCACAGCTCTGCTGCCTTAAAGTGAGGACAGGGCTGATTCTCTCTCCCTATAGAAGCAGACATCCTCGTGCTTTCTCTTCTCACCATGTCACCCAACCCCCCTCACACCTTCCCCCAATGCAGGTAGGAGGTTTCCTCACCTATGAGCTCAGGGACCTTGATGTATGTAGTTAGCTCCCACCTTGTGACACATGTGTCTACTGAATATGCAAGTCTTAGGCTACCTATAAATGTCCCAAGTAAGTAAAATCTTGCTCTCTTCTCCCAATTCCATGTGGACCATCAAGAGGAGCTAAAGTGAGCATGCTACCATAAAATGTAACTGACTCCTTTATTTTACTTTCTCTCATATCTTTCTTACCCTCTATAACTTTACTATAACCTTTATATATTATCACCATACAGTTGCGCCTCCCGGCCCTTTGGCTGTTGGAAGCTGGTTTCCTCTGACAACAAAACACTTAAATGATAGGGGACATCGAATAAGTAGCCAAAATATTAAAGAAAAAGTCCCTGCAGAGATCTGTAAAGATGATGTGATCGGTATTATAAATCAGACTTAGCTCCTGGCCTCCCCGCCCACTGTTGTGTTCCACTGCTGCTGATGGAGATGATACAAGACAGCTAGAAATCAGGGTTGGGGAGTCTGAGAAGTGTAGGACAGAGTGCTGGTCTACCATATTAGAGCTTAAATTCTGAGCACCTCATTTCCAAAGGCTTTGGATGAATGTGAAAACTCCAAACCCATTGCAGAGTCCCCAGATAGAGGAAGCCTCTATTGAAGTCTCTCTGATCTTTAACCAAGGATGTGCAAAATCGTGCCCTCAGGCTGCGTGCACTGGCGAGTGGATTACCTTTACCCCTCTCCAGCCAGCCTAGGGAGCGACCGTCTCTCTTAGAGGCTTGCCTAGGTGTGTCTTTGATGGACAATACTGGGGGTCACATAGTCAGGAGTCAAACCCTATTACCACATATACTCATATATAAGCCAAGTTTTTCAGCACATTTTTAATGCAGTTTTTGTGATAAAATTAGGTGCCTCGGCTGATTTTCGGGTTGTCTTATACTTGCGTTTTAGTATGCCCTGACTGTCTTGGTCAGAAGACCCTAGGCCAATCTTGTCAACTCTTTTCTCTACCATAATGTACATGTCCCACTCATGGTTCTGTTCCTGCTTCTAAAGCTCTATCTGTAATGTGACATATTGATCTGCCACCAATCATGAGTCTGTGACAGTTTCCCTAGTTCTGGGCCTTATTTTACCGGTGTCTGAACTGTGAATCCCCAGACAGCATGATAAATGGCCTTCTTCATCTGCAGGATGTGTCTGTGTGTTTGTGTTGTCTTTGTCTTGCTTAAGACTTAACAACTGTTTTCCTTAAGTTGTATTTGAGACAGTCTCTTTTGTACCTTGAACCACTACCTTGAGAGTCATATATCAGCTCTCAATTTTGCAAAACGGGGATGGTGGCACCTACCTTTCAAGGTTGCAAGGATTAGATGCGCAGTTGTTAGTAGGACTAATCTAGCCTTGGTCCTGTAGATGGTGTGTCTTTCTAACATATAACTTCTCCTGCTTTCCCATTTAAGACACAGCTACAGGTTTCCTATCACCCAGGTTAAATATTCAAACTCCTGAACGTGGTCTGGCCCCTGCATCCCTCTCCAGCCTCTTTTAGCTTAGCCACATGTAACTAATCTCAGTGCCCCAACTCCCCATAGGCTCTCATCCTTCCTAGAACACACATCTCCTCCCTCTTCTTCACTAAGACTTTGGTTATACTTCAGATCTCAGCTTGGTAATCTAGAAGAAGGAAGTTTAAATTTCTTTAAAGAAATTTAGCTTATATGCATAATATATAATACATACAGATATATGTATAAAGGAGAGGCATTTCCGATGTTCATATGAATTTATTTCAGTGGCACTCTATATACTAAGCTAGAATTTCAAGTTTTGCGAGTCAGAATCTATATTGTTTTAATATATTTTGTATCAGCCTAGAGCATTTTACATAATAAACATTAAACAATAACACTAACCAATTTACTGTCTTTTGGGAGCAATTTTAATTGTTCTAGAATCTACTGGGAAATAACTGTTATATTCATTTTTATTATCAAATATTTCACAGTTGAATATAAAATCATAGAGAAGTATCAGACTAAGGGTAGTGGTTTTGTTACCAATCGGGTAAAGATACGATTCCCCCGCCCCACACCCCTAAGTTTCAGTTGACAGTAGGCAATGATAAACATCAGAGTCCATGGGAACCATGGGAAAGAATTGCCAGCAAACTCAAGGGTTGCTGTGTGATGCTCTCTTTTGCCTCAGCCAGTGAGCGGACTTGGACTGCAAACGCCTCTTACCTCGGCATCAAGGCGAGGATCCTGATAGGCATCACTGATGTTCACCGGAAGGCCTGTGGAAGCAACCAGCTCGGCCACGCTGTTGTTTATTAGCCAGTCAGAGTATGAGGATTTCTCCATGCTTTCCTTGAAACTACCAAGGCAAGAAGTTGGAAACGAGAAAAAGATAATTTGCTTGATAAGAGCCTTATAAAGCTACCATAAAACAGGGTGCTCTATCTTTATTATGAAGGGTTAAGAGATATTAGTCACAGAACAATAGCATGGTCATTATCAGTAGCTAACTCAAAAAACACTTATCTGCTATCTTATAAAATAATGAAATTCATGGGGAGGAAGTAAAGCATCTATGATCCAGGAAGCAGCAGGCAGAGAGCAACTATGGGTGAATGAAAGTAGACCAACATGATGTTTTCCAAACTGTGTTCTGTGGAGCTCTGGGTTCTGTAAAATGTTAATAAGTATTCCCTGATAGTATAAACAGTAAAGTATTCACCTACAAGCCAAATGGTTGGCAGTTTGAACTCACCTGGGGGCCTTAGAAGTCAAGGCTGGTGATCTGAAAACCCCAGAGATCTGTTCTACTGTGTTCATATGGGGCTGTCATGGTCAGAATCAACAACAAAGACAACAATAATGACAGTTCTTTTGAAGCTTTAATCTAACATGTGTACGTAAGAAAATGTATGGAGCAATTCAACTGTATCCTAGAAGGTCCCGATGAGTCAAAATCAACTTATTGTTACAGAGTGTATAACTGCTGTAGGAGCCTTGGTAGCACAGTGATTAAAGTAATTAGCTGATAGCCAAAAGGCAGGTGATAACCAGGTGCTCCACAGCCAAAAGATGTAGTAGTCTGTTTCTGTAGAGATTACAGCATAGAAAACCCCATGGGGCTGTTCTACTCAGACTTATGTGGTTGCTAAGAGTTCAACTCAACTCAACAGTGGTGGGTTGGGTTGGTTTATAGTTGCTATAGTGCACTATAGACACTCTAACTGCTAGATAACAATGGGGGGGTGGAAGTTGTCAAGGATTTCATTTTACTTAGATTCACAATGAATGCTCATGGAAGCAGGAGTCAAGAACTCAAATAACACTACATTGAGGAAATATGCTTGGGAAAAAGGCATTTTAAAAACATGGACTTTGGGGAGTCAAGTGTACCTGACTCAAGCCATGCTGTTTTCAACCACCTCATATTCAAGCAAAAGCTAGACAGTGCATAAGGAAGACAAAGGAAGAATTGATGTATTTGAATAATGGCATTAGCAAAGAATACTTAATAAATAAGATGCTTGACAAGAGGGTTGATATAATGGCTGAAATAATGGGCTTGTAATATTTAGGAATTATGTCAACTAGACATTCTTGTCTAGGAGTGGTGGAGTCAAACCTGCCAATCAAGTTGCAGCCTGATAACACCACTTTGATGTATAAAAACAAGATATATATGATGTATAAGAGTGGAAAAAATTGTGTGTGTGTGTGTGTGTGTGTGACTTTGTCTTCCTTCTTGATGGGACTTTGCTAGAATTCTGCCTGCCTTGAGGAGTGGCCATGGGAGGCACTCAGCCCTATGCCATTTTCTCATCCACCTTGGATGCATGTGACTCTGCACCCACCAGTCTGTGATCTTCCTGATTCCTGGTTCACCTTTCTGCATCCTGGCAAGTGGCTACGTGAGTCTGTAGAGGGATTGATGGGCTAGCGTCAGACTAATGGCCTTGAATTAGACTGGGCTGGTATGCTATTATGATATATAATTACTTCTTTATATAAAGTTTTTCTTATACATAGATGAGTGTCACTGGATTTGTTTCTCTAGACAACCTGGTCTAACACAGGGTTCAAACATAAAAACAATTGTGAGGATGGTGCAGGAACCAGCAGTGCTTTGTTCCCTTGTGCACCAGGGCACTTGAGTTGGAACTGACTCAATGGCACCTAGCAAAACCAACAAGCCAGAACGATGAGCAAATCTGTCTTGGAAGAAGTACAGTCGGAGGCTTTTTGGAAGTGAGGATGGCGAGACTTCATCTCACACTGTGAACATGATACCAGGAGGGGTCAGTCCCTGGAGGAGGAAAGACAACATCCTTGGCAAAGTAGAGGGTCAGTACAAAAAGTGGAAGACTCTCCATGAGATGAATGGAATCAGCGGTTGCAACAATGGATTCAAAAGCAGTATTATTATGAGGATGTTGCAGTACGGGGCAATGATTTTTTTTTTCTGCTGTAAGGTCCCTGTGAGTCAGAACTGACTGCTCAGCATTTAACAACAACAACAATGCAAACAAGAGAATTTTGTTCATAACAATACATTAACATTGGTTCATGTCCCACAGATATGTCAGATGTTAATCATGGAAGAAACAGTGTATGGTGGGGAAGGGAACCTGTGGGGCATCTCTGTATTTTCAGCACAGTGTTTTTGAAAAGCGAAGCTTCCCTAAAACATAAAATATTTTTTAAAACTGAGGGGGAAAAAGCACAACAGACCAAAAAAGAATTCTTGAAATGAGCATCGGGGGTGGGGAGTGGGGGGAAGTAAATGTAAGTGATATTTAAACGTCAACTTTCTGCATGAAACTTCCTTGGAAGATAAAAATCAATTCCTTGTTAAAAGTCTATTATTTTAATTCTATAAGGAGTAGACTTACTCAAGCTTGGAATTTATTTAAAATCACAAAGTTATTGCAAACAAATTCTGTAGCTTGTTAGTTTATAAGCACCTACAAGGATGTAGGCCGATAAGTGGGCTTCATGTAAAAGGGCTGCAGTTTTGATATTCCTCTCTCAGTGGTACTTTGCTTACAAATGTGAGTTCCACACTGACTTCAAGGAGTGTGTATGAGCTCAATATATTGATTGTGAACAGGTAAAAGAGAACTTCCCTATTGCAGAAAGATGTAATTCCTGAAATGAGATTGCCCCTGAAGTGAGGGCCAGTGAGGCCAAGATAAACCTCAGAATTGGCAATTGCAGAGAAATGTAGGAGGAAAAGCAATATAAGCCAAACAAAACAGGCAAAATAAAATACCTCAGGACAAGTAACTTCAACATCTTCAGTAGTCTGATAGACCAATCTTAGGTAAAGTTTCAAACACAGAAACCTATTGGAAATTTAATTTATGATGATCCTTAGAATTACATGTCAAAACAATAGCTTCATTAAAGATACGGTGTCTGTGTTGACATTTCTGTTCACTTGAGTTTAATGGAATGTGTGGTAGTTATATAATTGTCAATTTAAGGATTAAGCATGGAAGGGTGGAGTCTAGCCTGTCAATCAAGTCATAGCCAATGAGGCCTCTGTGTGGGCATGGCCTTCTCCTGAGGATTCTGGGAAATCTGGTACTTCCTTCTTGGAGGCAGGAGACAGCTCTCTCTCTACTGACTTCCTTGGGAGACATTGCAGCTGACAAGACACATGGAACTACCCTAGTGCCCTGAACCGGACAAGTCACATGGATGCATCTAGACCTCTGAAGCCAGAGAAGCCACAGAGAGACCCCTGCCAGCACTAAGATGCTTATAACGCCACTGGACCCAAAGACTTTCTACCCACTGGCTTGTGATCGTCCTGCATTTGGCTCCATTATATGTGTTTCGTGAGTCTGAAGAGGACTTTGTAGATTGGTATCAGACATATGGGCTAATATCAGACTTATGGCATTGGACTGGACTGAGTTGGGATGTTTTCTTAATGTACAATTACCCTTTATATAAAACTCTTTCTTATTTACATATGCATGTTTATGAATTTGTTTCTCTAGTCTACCCAGACTAACACAGAATGTCTTCACTAGAGTCTCCATGGACTTCAAGTATGACCATTGGTTGGGTACCTAGTAAGTCCTAGATTCACTGCTGGGTCCTGAAGAGTACTGGGGTAAACAAGAGAGGGGTCTCAAGATCAGAAAACTCGAAATAATGAAAATACATGGTGGTAAATAGTATATTGAAAAATATACAATTATTACATAAACAGAGAAAAGAAGGGTTCGTTCTGTTTGGATTGGGAGTGATATTTGGGGAACTGCTTCCCAAAAGAAGTTGATATGAGCTGGTTTTTAAAGGATTAGCAAGAGCTTAGTAGGAGCTAACTGGCAGAGAAAGAAGAAAAATAATGTAAACAAAAACATGACATAAGCCCAGCATTAGAAATCTGCCATTAAGTTAATTCCTACTGGTAGCACCTCTAAATAGGGTTTCTGCGGCTATAGATCTTTACAGGAACAAGACAGCCTCA